CCTGAGATCCCAAGAGAGCCCCAAGATCGCACGGCCAGGAGGAGGAGGACGAAGAGAAGGAGCGACGAGGACGAGGAGCAGGAGAGGAGGATGGAAGAAAAAAGCCAAAGAGAGGGAGAAGGAAGAGAAAACACCCTACGGTCAGCGCACCTTTTTCGAGCGGCTGCTTTTGGATGGGTTGGTGGGGACTCGCGAAGCGTAAACAATTTGAACGTCGGGCCCCTAAGAATTTCCACAATGAAGAGGATTGAAACTCAAAGGATTAGGCAAAATATCTGAGGACACGCACGCCGTGCCTGAGGGCACGGTGGCGGAGATTCCACACCAACATAGCTTGCACGTAGTGTTGGATTCCCCTTTCTAAAAAGAGAATAGACTCTACACCCCCCCCGGCGTTATCGGTACCCTTTTCGGGTATGTAAATCATATACGATTCTGACCACATGTCCATCCTAAGAATGAATTTACACTATCCCAGGGGGGCCGGTATCCCCCCCTGAGGTTCCCTCGCAAAAAAAAACTATGCGGTGACATTGTTGTTCTAACATAGATAGCACGTGTTCACGAATCCCATGCAAAAATGAGACGAATGCACACGCGCGCGCCGTCGCGCGCGCATGCCGAAATCCTTCAAAAACCTTCGGTGCCGGAAGGATTTCGCAATCGAGTTTCCAAAAAAACATACAAAAACACAGGGTTTCGCAACACTGATTTGCTAAAAAACTTCCGCGCGAGTTCTTGCGAAATCTTAAGAAAACCATAAGTTTGTCAAGATTTTCACAAAATGCTATTAAACGGGCTTCGCGCGCGCGCAGGTCGAAATCTGTCGAACGCCCTTGCGCGTGTGCCGTCGCGCGAATCCTCTGCAAAAAATGGGACGAAGTGCAGACGCGCGCGTCGTCGCGCGCGTATGCCGAAAACCTTCAAAACCCATCGGTTTCGGAAGGATTTCAAAATCGTGCGTCCAAAAAAAACTTACAAAAATACAAGGTTTCGCATCACGGATTTTCAACAAAAGCGTGCGCGCGCGCTCTTGCGTCGTCGTCGTCGTCGTCGTCGCCGTCCTCCCTCCTCCCGCGTCGTCGTCGTCGTCGTCGCCTACGTCGTCCTCTGTCTTTCCTCGTGTTCGTCGTCGTCGTCCTCTTTGGCGTCGTGGTCGTTTCCGTCGTCGTTGTCGCCGTGGTCGTCCTTCCTCCTCCTCCCTCGTCGTCGTCGTCGTCCGTCGTCGGCGTCTCGTCGTCGTCCCTCCTATTTCGTCGCCGTCGTCGTCGTCGTCGTTGTCGTCGTCGTCTTCCCTCCTCCCTGGTCGTTGTCGTCGTCGGCGTCGCCGTCCTTCCTCCTTTTTCGTCGTTCGCGTCGTCGCTGTCCTCCCTCCTCCCTCGTCGTTGTCGTCGTTGTCATCGTTGTCGCCGTCGTCGTCCTTCCTCCTCCCTCGTCGTCGTCTTCGTTGGCGTCGTCGTCGTCGTCTTCGTCGTAGTCGGCGTCGGCGTCGTTGTCGACGTCGAAGTCGTCGGAGACGTCGTCGGTGTCGTCGTAGTCGTTGTCGTCGGTGTCGTCGTAGTCGGTCTTAAGAGCTTTTGCAAACCAAGTTGCGGGTGGGTGGGTGGGATATTTGCAAGAGCGTGGGATGTGTCAAATCATGGGTTAAAATCAATTGCACCACGTAGATTGCACCACATACATTGCTCCACCGAGGTTGCATTACATATATGGCACAACACAGGTTGTACAACATATATTGCTCAGTAAATTTGCACTACGTAGATGGGACCACATAGATTGCCCCCCCCCAGATAGATTTACTCTGCTTGGAGCCCACGCTACCTAACATTAGACCTATCTCGCGGAAGAGCACGCCAGATTCCGGAACCAGCAACGAAGGAGGGAATCTAATCGAGAGAACCGAAGCAACAAAACAATACCGATTCATCGGCAATAGGCTAGACGATTCATTACGCCTTGGAACTGGAGCGTACGGGCGTTTGGGTGGATTCTTCTCAGCCCGCCTTATGCAAATTGCGAGGCAAGCTTGCCCCATGGCGCTTGCATGCATTATTGTCCAAAACCTTTGGTACCAACGAGCGCCGCTGCCACGTGGAAATCGCGGACCAATGCGCGACCCACGCGCGGCAGAACCTGTACCGCATGCACCGAACGACTTGCCAAACCCACTATGTTTTCTTCCAGGACACGCGGCTCTGATATGGATTAATTCTTATAGCATTCTGACATCCGTCAGCTCCCAGACGGCCGGAGACAGATCGACGCAATCAGATGTAAAAAACGGCATCCGCACCAAAATGCATTGAAGGGTATGTCCTACTCTGTTTGCGCAAATGTTGATGGAAACGCAGCGCGCAATCTCGTGTTGGGAGCGAGCTGGCGATGCACGAATGTATTGCATTTGCGAGTGGATATTGATGTCGATTGCCGCGAATTGTCTTACACCGCACTGCGCATGGAGGGCATTGAAAAAACGCCGGTCGCACGGGCGATACACGACGTATTGGCGTCCATAAACGAAACCACGTCGATGAACGAAAGCATCAGTTTCAAAGCACGAATAATCGGTTTCAACAAACGAGAACCTCGACATCAACAAACAAGAATAATGGTTTCAAAGTGCCTCTGTGTTGCCGCGGGTATACAAACAACTAGCCTGGCGAAGGACCAACGGTATGCAATTGTTCGTGCCGCACTTATGAAAATCGTTTTCAGCGGAGCTCCCTATGGGGCCACGAAACGTGTGAGAGATGTGCCGAAATTGGGGCAGGACCGCATGCGAACCCTGCCACTGGGGCCTTCGGCGGACGGGACGGGGGAGGGGGAGGGGTCCAGCTGTCCACAAGCCACAAGTCGTCTCGCTCACTCCCACCCGCCCTCCCAACACATCAGTGGAACCCGAATCTCAGCAGGGGCAGGGGTCACCATCGACAACAATCGGGAACCAATGCAGACGCTAGCCAGGTGCACGACTCCCGCGAGGTGCCCCGCACGTGCCAAGGCAGCCCCCGAGGCCGCCAGCATGCCCCCAAGAAACCCGAAGAGGCTCCCAGAGGCCCCCAAGAGGCCCCAGGCACCAAGAGACCTCCAAAAGGTCATCCAGAGGCTTCTATGGGGCCTCGAAGGGGCCTCTTGTCCACTACCAGGGCACAATGGCAGGATGGGCCGAAGGCCGTTGAATTGTCTCAAGTTCTGATCCACAGGCCGCGACGAGGCCCGTGGCCGGTGGTCCCCCGCGGGGGAGGGGAGGGAGGCACTTGGGACCTGGGGATCCAAATACACGCGCTCTCGACGACCGATGCGTATAAAACCACGTCTGCTGCTCCTGACCCGCTGCCCATCGTGGCAGACCGATCGCATCGTTTGCGTAGTCGAATTGCACCACATCTATGGAAGCGCTGAAGTGAACGGGGAACATAAGGGGGACCGGCTCAGGCGATGCATCGCCGATGGATCGGCGCCAGGCGAAACCGCACGCGCCTGGACGGGATGGGCTATCGTGTCCCTACCGACGATGAATTGGCGATTGGGGATCGATGCGTTCCCCCCTCAGCCCTTCGCCCCCTGAGGCTACCGCTGAGGAAGAGGGGAGCCCAGAGCCACCCCTGGATAGCGCGCAATCGAACCGACACCTGCCGTGCAGGAAATCTCATGTGGACCAAGAGGGGAAAAGCTTGCTTGGTCTTAATTTTCAACAGGAATGCAAACAGTGAAAACATGGCCGATCGATCTTTCAGGTCTGACTTCGTCGAACCGTGGCGGCCCCGCCGCCCGGGGACGATTTCCACCACGGCGCGCTCCCGTCATGCCCGCGCGGGCGCTCATCTCTGGCATCGCGCAAGCCGTTCAGCCTTCAGCGATCTCGGAGCTATCCGACAGCGAATCCGCCACCGTGCCATTCGGCACGGAGTGGGCGTGCCCTCAGGTCCTGTGCCTAGTCCTCTAAGCCTCAATATTCACTCCTGGAGAGTCTCTCAGGGGCCCCGGCCCAAAATTCTTAAATCTCTTGGGGCTTCTTGCGGCTTGTCGGGGCACTGGCGCATCTCCTCGCGTGACTTGTTCGGACCCAAGAAGGCCCCTAGACAGGCCAAGAGGGCCTCAAGAGGCCCTCAAGACGGCCCACGAGGGCTCCTATACGCCCAGAGATCGCCCCAAGACGCCCAACATGGCCCCAAGACGTCCCAAGAAGCCTCCAAGACGCCCCATGAGGCCTCCTCAGAGGGCCCAAGGAGGCAAAAACATTGATTTGCTTCAGGTTTTTGAAGAATATTGGCCCTCTCGCCTTTTCGGATTCCCGACGCTCCAAGACGGCCCATGGGGTCCCCAAGACGCTCCCGATCGCCCTATAAGACGGCCCGAGAAGCTCCCAAGAGGAGGAGGCGCCCAAAACGGCCAAAGAGGGCCCAAAGGGGTCACAAATGGGGGGCCCGAACGGACATGTTAAGCCCTCGGCCCCGAGGGCCCCCAATGAGGCCCTAAGGCCTCCAAGCGGCCCCCAAGAGGCCCGAAGAGGCCAAGGCCCAAAAACTGCCCTCAAAAGGCCCCCGAGAGCGCTCCGCAGAGACCCCGAGAAACACCCCTGAGAACTCTGACCCGCAACCCAGGCACGGCAGCGGAATGGGCCGAAGGCCCTTGGACATCTCATGAAGGAAGTCCTGGACGCCTTGCGCGGCAACTAGATCTGCGTCGGATTCACGCCCGATCTGCGTCGGAGCATCGCCGCGCGAACGTCGTCCTTTATCTGACGGGGCGGACGTGTGGACTGGACAATACTGCTATTGCACGCCGCGCGAAGACTCCAGGATTTCCTCATAGAAGATCGCTCAGGGTCTCAGGCCGCCGCCGGTCATTGACCTTGAGCGCCCGCACCCGCGCCGGTGCCGGCGCGGCGCAGAACCTGCCGCATCCTTGCGGCTTTCGTGCTGCCCTTCCGAGCGGCGCTTCTCCACAGAGGGCTCCGCCGCGCGTCAGCTGGCAGGCCAGCGCGGCCAGCGCTCTCAGAGTTCGCCTGCGGTGGCGTGGCCCGCGCGGCCGGCGGCAGCGGCGACCTCCTCGGCCACGTTCCGCACCACCCCCAGGAGCTCCTCCTCGGGGGGCTCCACGAAGCGTTGGAGGTGCGCGTGCCGCGGCGTCAGTGGGACGAACCAGTACTGGAAGTCGAGCGCCATGGAGAGGTGCCCAAAGTAATGGCAATGAGGCTGCTGACACGCGACCTCGACAACGTGTGTGCCTGTTTGACAGAATAACACATTGCCGAGGCCCGCTCCGTGTACACCAGCAACGGCCGCTGCTGTGTAGAACAGACGGTGGACGTCCGCGAAGGGCGGAAACTTGCCCAGCACTCTCACATTGGTCTCGGATCCAAGATGCGTGGACCAGATCTCTGTCATGCGCTTCAGCAAGCCCGATTCCCGATCGGGGGCAACCTGCCGCTTCTCGGAGCCTCCACGCGACAGCCAGAGCAATATTCTGGGCTGGTCGTTTGTCGCTCCTGCAACGCCTTTATAACGCTGCGCGTAGTACGAGTGCAGTTGCTGGAGCACGCGGCGCGGGGGCAAGTAGTGGTATAGCCTTCCATCATCGCGGACAGGCACGCCCTCTGGACTCATCCGCCGCCAATCTGCGAAATGCAGCTTCCCCACGCGCACTAGGGCACCTAAGCTGTTCATCGGCGTCAGTCTCGACGGCGCCACGTCGAACAAGCTCTCCAACATGATCCTGACCAGCCTGTCTGAATTACCAGGGCCGCCGTAGAGAAAAGGTATCGAGGGGTCGGCACGCCAGACCCGCTGGAGCAGGTAAACCCTGGACATGGCCTCGGCGATAATATGGTAAGGGGCCAGACCCCAAACCTGTACCAGGTTTATCGCGCTGGCGAGCGGGCTCGCAGTGGCGACAAACTGCGGGGGCGGCAGCGACTCGTAATACCGCGTCTCCTCGTCGTGGCCGATCGCGAAGATACGACAGCGAGCATCGAAGAGAACGCCATCGACACCAGAGACGAACACGTCGGTCAGTTCGCTGACGAAGGCCTCGCGCTCTTCGTACATCAAGGAGCCCCAGGTCCGCCGACCCCTGCTCGACGGGGGCGAAAAACGCGTGCGAGATGCGTGGCTGCCCTCTTCGCTCCTGTCCCTAGCTCTGCCTTTCCTCCGCCTCCATCTCGTCGTCCATATCCTGATCACCTTGCCACCTTACCCCTCCCCAGTCCTCCTCTTCCTCCACCTGCTCCCCCTCCTCCTCCTCCTCCTCCACCGCTTCTTTACCCCCACTGCAAGGGATTCAAAGCCTAGCTTGAATGGAGGAGGACGAGGAGGAGGAGGAGGAGGAGGAGGAGGCCGGGCACGATCTCGTCAGCCACCATCTGAGACAGAGCGACACCTAGTATGGTCCACGACGGGATCAATGATCAACGCGGCACTGTTTGTCCAAGAAGGCCTCCAAAATGACAAATGATATCCAAGTATTGATTAAACATGCTTCCACACGGGCGTAGCACGATGCCAAGAATGACAGCTAGCTGCCCCAAGATGACCCCAATATTGTGTCAAGGTGGCACCAGAGCCTCCAAAGGAAACCACCGAGACTGCAATCCGTTTAGCAACACGTACACGAACTGTCAGATCGCCGAAGATTGGCCGCAACACACAGCTGGCACGGCCCAGGCAGGACCCCCATAAGGCTCAGTATGTTGCCCGAAGAGGCTCCGAAAATAGCCCAGGTAGGATTTGTCTCCGCCACGAAATGTCATCCCAAGAACCAACTTAGTGGCGTCAGCTGGTGCCGTGAACGCATTCGCACCGCAAGCAAGAGAAGGAGGAGGCGAGCAAGGAGAAGGGAGGACCAGAAGCGACACAGGCTAAGCGACTACAGCAGCTCTTAAGCAGGAGGCTACCAGGGCCAGGGAGCCCAGACCTCGCCTGATCTTACCACGTACAACAGAGTGAGGGGGCCGAACGGTCATTCACTGCCCCTGGGTGCGTGGCTGAAGTGGGGATCCACGGCGAATACTCTGCTTGTTGTGTTGCGTCGTCCCCCCTGCGACCACCGCGCGACCCACCCGCGACCCACCCGCGACCCACCCCGCGACTCACCCCGCGACCCACACCATGCTGATTCTAAAGAACAGCAAGAAAAAAGAATCGGCGCCTGCGGCGGCTTCATTGCATTAATTTCGGGGAATACCACCACCGCGCGACCCACCCGCCAACCCACCCGCGATCCCCCACCCGCGACCCCATCCGCGACCCACCCGCGACCCACCTGCGACTCACCCGCGACCCACACCACGTACGACAGAGTGAGGGGGGCGAACGGTCATTCACTGCCCCTGGGTGCGTGGCTGAAGTGAGGATCGACGGCGAGGACTCTGCTTGTTGTGTTGCGTCGTCTCCCCTGTGACCACCGCGCGACCCCACCCGCGACCCACCCGCGACCCACCCCGCGACCCACCCCGCGACCCACCCCGCGACCCACCCCGCGACCCACCCGCGACACCGCGCGACCCACCCGCCCGCGACCCACTCGCCCGCGACCCACCCCCCGACCCACCCGCGACCCACCCCGCGACCCACCCGCGTCCCACCCGCGACCCACCCGCGACCCACCCCGCGACCCACCCGCGACCCACCCACCCTGCGGCCCACCCGCGACGCATCCCGCGACCCACCCGCGACCCACCCCGCGACTCACACCATGTTGATTCTATATAGCAGCAGAAATAATCGGCGCCTGCAGCGGGCTCCAATGCATTAATTTAGGGGAGTGCCACCACCGCGCGACCCACCCGCCGACCCACTCGCGAACCACCCCCGCGACCCACCCCGCGACCCACCCGCGACCCACTCCGCGAAAAGAATCGGCGCCTGCGCCAGGCTTCATTGCATTGGTTTAGGGGGGTGCCACCACTGCGCGACCCACCCGCCGACCCACTCGCGACCCACCCCGCGACCCATCCGCGACCCACCCGCGACCCACCTGCGACTCACCCGCGACCCACACCACGTACATCAGAGTGAGGGGGGCGAACGGTCATTCACTGTCCCTGGGCGCGTGGCTGAAGTGAGTTTCTGCGGTGCGGACTGTTGTTGTTGTTGTTGTTGTTGTTGTTGTTGCTGTTGTTGTTGTTGGTGGTGTTGGTGTTGTTGTTGCTTGTTGTTGTTTGTTGTCGTCGTCTCCCTTGCAACCCGGCCCGCGACCCACCCGCGACCCGCGACCCCGCGACCCACCCGCGACCCACCCGCGACCCCCCGGACCCACCCGCGACCCACCCGACCCACCCGCGACCCACCCGCGACTCAGCTCGCGACCCACCCGCGACCCACCCCCAACCCACCCGCGACCCACCCGCGACCTACCCAGGTTGCTTTAACGAAAAATCGGCGACTGCGGCGAGGTCGTTGAAATAGTGAAAATTACGCGCCTGCGGCGGGCTTTTTCAGAGCCTCGCAGACTGCCGACGTCCCCGCCGCCCCCTCACTCGTATCCGCAACTGCGGGGTGCTACGGTATCCTCATCGTCCAGCTTGCCCTCCCCCCCGCGTGCGAGCAGCCCAGATCGTCCCGATTCTGGGGTCGTCAGGATGGCGCACGCTTGTGAGATAAAACTCTGATCCCGCACGTCTGCTGGCAAACCGCTCCATCGGCGGGGGGAGCGCCATCCATAGGAGCCGACCGGCCCATGCAGGTCAACACGAGTGTAACTGGTGACCGTGTCGCTGACCTCCGCTCTGCCCCAGTCATAGACCACCGCCGCCCGCTTGCCCGAGCAGCGCAACGGGCTGCCGGGGGTGCGAGAGAGCGGCACCGCGGAACTGTGGAAAGCTTCTGCTGCGAGCTGCTGCGCGTGACGCATTGCAGGTATCACAGTGCCCACGCTCTGTAGAGAAAAGTTGTCACCTAGTGAGGGAATGTTAGCCTGCATGGACCCTGAACAGTGAGTTCTTGCACTCTGATGGTGGACTATATGCGGAGTACGCTATGTGGTGCTAGCTGGGTTGTGTAAATTCAGCGGAGTAAGCCATGTGTGTTAGCCATGTTGTGTAAGCGACGTGGTGTGAGCTATGAGGTGTCAGCTATCTTCTGTAAGCTGTTCGGTGCGAGCTATGTCGTGGAAGCCGTGCGGCGTGACCGATGCGATGTGAGCCACGCTGTGCGAACCAGGCGGTGCAAGCTGTGTGGCGTCGGCTGCGCTGCGCAAGCCAACTCTTGCCAGCCCTGGACACGGGGCGACCACGAAGCGCCCGCGAGGCGCCCGCGAAGCGGGCGCCGAGCGACACCTCGGCGGGCCCACCGGGAGCGCCGGACGGCGCGCGAGCGCCCGAGAGGGGCGCTCGCGGGCGGGCACGGGGCGCCAACGAGGCGAGACCCGGGCGGGCACACCCCGGGGCACGGGGCGCCCACGGGCGGGCGCGGGGCGCCCACGTCGGAGGGCCCGCCGAGGTGCTTCCGCACGACCAGGCGGGAGCCCCCTGGCAGCAAGCACTGGCCGAGGGGAGGGGGGGGGAGGGGCACGAGGGGCCGAGGAGGAGGAGGAGGAGGCCGAGGGGAGGGGGGGGCCGAGGAGGAGGAGGAGGAGGAGGAGGAGGGCCGAGGGGAGGAGGAGGAGGAGGAGGAGGAGGAGGCCGAGGAGGAAGAGGAGGGCCGAGGGGAGGGGGGGGGAGGGGGAGGGGCACGAGGGGCAGGAGGAGGAGGATTCGACGGTCGCCTGCGATCTGGCAGTAGCGCCCGTGCTGGTAGGCGATTCTCGCACTGCTCGGGAAGCGGTCTCGCCCCTCGAGGAACAGGTCTTGAACCTCGGACCATGCTGCGCTGCTGTTGCCCATGACGAACGCCGACTGCGTGTACTCCTCAACCGACTTCAATCCAATGGATCGTGCTTCCTGAACCATCTCCAAAGCTCGCTCTTCCTGACCACTCTGCATCTCGCCGATTGCCAGAAATACAGAAAGTTGGGAATTCTTCTCGGGATTCATGGAGAGCGCCTCCTTCGCATGAAACGACATGCGCTGCCAATCCACGCACTCCTCCAGTCCTTTGTTGCTAGCATCGATGTACGACCTGGCGCGGTTGGAAAAAGATGGTGCTGAATTCCACCATACCTCTGAGCGCAGGTGCTTTAGAAGGTCAAATATTCCAACGATTCCAACCCCCTCCTGTCTGGGAGGGGTTTACTCCTCCTTCCCAGTACGGGGCCCGATCTGTGATTTTCCGAGGGTTTGTCCGTCAAGATGGCCATAGATGACTCCAAGATGAGCCAGATAGCCCCAAATGGCGTCCAAGCTGGCACAGGGTAGCCCAGGCTGGAGAAAGACGGCTTCCAACATGCCTCCATCGGCAGACCCAAGACGGCCACCAATCGGCGCCAAGTAATTAACCACAGGGCCTCCCAAGAATGGCCCCGAGAGGACAAACCGTTTTTACAAAAACGAGAAAACCATGCTTCAGTGATTACCAATCCGAGAATATGTCGTTGCCAAATATTACCCAAAGCCCACCCCGTTCAGCATCCCCGCATACTGCGGCCGCTAAGCCCCGAGTTGCCCCCAGTGAGCCCTACTGCCAAACCTCGCGTCCTCGACAATCGGCGACCGAACTGATCCCCCACGCCGCGGCCGCCAGGCCCCAGGAATCCCCGGTGATCCCCAGTGTCCCGTCTCGAGATATGACGACGGAACCTGTCATAGGCCCGAATAAAAAACACCAATAACAGACACAGAGAACGCGCATAAAGAGCACTCATCAAGATGACTGGAGAATCGAACGGCAGACGTAACGAACATACATGTAGACACACCAAAAGTTAACGACAGGCACATTTGACAGACATAAGCGAACACACACTCTAAGCATGACGGCGACATTCAGAGCATACCTCCAACCACCCAGCATACACAAGCAAACTCAACACAACAGCGAGCCCAAAGACCTAAAAGAGCCCCAAGACAGCCCCAAGAGGGCCCGAAGGGACCCCCGAAACTTCCTCAACGGACGCCAAGACAGCCACAAAACGGCACAAACGAGTTACATGAGATCTCCTCAAACAGTGACGACGAACAGTGTCATATGCGACGGCCAAAGTATTCCTCGTGTTCCTTCTGCTACTCATCCACCTACTCCTCCTCTTCCTCCTCCTCCTCCTCCGACTCATCATCATCGTTATCATCATCACCACCACAACCACCCATAATCATCATCATCATCATCATCATCATCATCATCATCATCATCATCATCATCATCATCATCATCATCATCATCATTATCATCACCATCATCAGCACCATCATCATCAGCATCATCACCAGCAGCAACATCATCGTCATCGTCATCATCATCAGCAGCGTCATCATCATCAACATCATGAACGTCATCACCATCATCATCATCGTCATCATTATCGTCATCAAAATCAGCATTAGCATCACCATCAGCATAAACATCGTCATCATCGTCATCATCATCGTCGTCATCATCATCATCATCATCATCATCATCATCATCATCATTAGCATCATAGCAACCATCGTCGTCGTCGCCGTCGTCGTCGCCATCACAAGCATCAGCATCATAAGCATGAGTATCATTATCACCACCATCCAAATCATCAGAATCATCATCACCACCAACAGCATCTTCACCACCATCATCATATTGATCCTCATCCTCAACCTCATCGTCGTCATCAGCATCACCATCATCATCAACAACATTAGCATCAGCATCAGCGTACATATCAACAGCAATTCGCCAGCCCAACGGGCCAGAGGCGTGCTAAGATCTCCGGTAACTGGTTAACAATATTCAACTTCGCGCGCGCGGGGCGGCCCCTGGCAGGGGTCTCCGGGCGAAAAGTACCCCGGCAAGGTCCCGGCAGGTCCGGGTCAGAGATGCCGGACCGGGCAAATTTTCGACACCCCTCACGAGGATCGTGGCCTCCGAGGGGGAGCCGCAATCGACTACCCCCCCTCCCACCCCAAGAAGCCCCCAAGAGCCCCCCAAGAGGCCCTAGGGGCCCCCAAGACGCCGCCAAGGAGCCCCAAGAGACTCCCAAGAGGTCCCCAAGAGGCCCTAAAGAGGGCTCCAGGGCTGGCGGAATGAGCGAAGCGATTCAATAACAACAATAATCAGTGTAAGACTGTTCGCTCTTATCTGCTCGCGTGCCATGCAGCACGTATATCTCAAACCCTCGCTACCCACCCTCTTCGTCTTCGACCGTACCCCCATTGGGGGGTATATCTGTCTTACCTGCAACGTGTATTTCGTGCAGCCCCTAAGGCAGGGGAAGAGAGAACGGATGGAAGAAAGGGACAAGGGAGGGGGAGGAGGATGGAGCACGAAAGAGAGAGTAGCAGGTGGGGGACTACAGGAGCAAAGAAAACACGTGGCAGAACCAGACGGGCAGATCGGATGGGTAGGCCCTAACAGGCGCGCCGGGAAGGAGGGCTCAGACGGCCAGGTCGAGCAGGCGGCGTCCTGCATGAATCGCGAGGAAGTCTCGAGCGATAGCACGATTCCCAAATAAATCGTCGGGAAATCCAAAGCGAGAGCATAATTGGCGAGTGCCGAGGGCGAGGCGTATGAATAAATTGAGAGGAAGTCACAAGCGAGAGCGCGATTCTTTGATAAATTGCAGGGAAGCAGGGAAGCCCACCGCGAGAGCGCGATTCTTCAATACAGTTTGAGGAAGTATCCGGCGGGAACCGCTGTTGTTTTAAACAGGAAGCCAAAGACAATAAAAATTAGCCTGACGAAGGACCCAACCATATGCAGTTGTGAATACCGAAATTGTGAGTACCATCTTCGCCCGCGCTCCCTATGGGGCCACGAAACGTGTGAGGGGTGTGCCAAAATGGGGCGCGTACCGCATGCGGGCTGCGCCACTGGGATCTTGGGTGGAGCTCCCTATGGGGCCACGAAACGTGTGAGGGGTGTGCCAGAATTGGGCGCGTACCGCATGCGGGCTGCGCCACTGGGGCCTATGGTGGAGCTCCCTATGGGGCCACGAAACGTGTAAGGGGTGTGCCAAAATTGGGCGCGTACCGCATGCGGGCTGGGCCACTGGGACCTTGGGTGGAGCTCCCTATGGGGCCACGAAACGTGTGAGGGGTGTGCCAAAATTGGGCGCGTACCGCATGCGGGCTGCGCCACTGGGACCATAGGTGGAGCTCCCTATGGGGCCACGAAACGTGTGAGGGGTGTGCCAAAATGGGGCGCGTACCGCATGCGGGCTGCGCCACTGGGACCATAGGTGGAGCTCCCTATGGGGCCACGAAACGTGTGAGGGGTGTGCCAAAAATTGGGCGCGTACCGCATGCGGGCTGCGCCACTGGGACCTTGGGTGGAGCTCCCTATGGGGCCACGAAACGTGTGAGAGGTGAAGATGATGGTGGGAGGAAGGAGGAGGGGAGAGAGGAGGAGGAAGGAGAGGAGAGGAGAGGAGGAGGAGGAACGCGGGGCGCCGTCGCTTCAAAACGAGGACCCAACACCACAGGATGGTTGGGAAAAACAGGATGGGAGCCCCGGGAACGGTACTTCAATTGGAAAACACGATGTGCCCCAGAGGGAGGATCAGCAAGAAGTATCCCTCAGTAGCGAAAGTTCAACAACAACAACAACAACAACAACAACAACAACAACAACGACAATCCTGATGATTAGTATTTATGATCTGCTCGCGTTCCATTCAACACGTATATCCTAAACCCTCGATGCCCACCCTCTTCGTCTTCGATTGTACCCCCATTGGGGGGTATATCTGTCTTACCTGCAACGTGAAGTTCGTGCAGCATCTAAGGCAGGGGAAGAGAGGACGGATGGAAGGAAGGGACTGGGGGGAGAGAGGAGGATGGAGCACGCGAGAGAGTAGCAGGAGGGGGGCTAGGGGCAGAAAACACGTGACAGAACACGACGGGCAGATCGGGCGGGTAGACCCAGGCGGCCAGGTCGAGGAGGCGGGTTGCTGAAGCGTGCGTCCTGCATGAATCGCGAGGAATCCTTGAGCGACAGCCCGACTTCAAAATAAATCTCGCGAGGGAACCCAGAGCGAGAGCGTGATTCCTGAGTGTCGAGAGCGCGGCGCTTGAATCAATTGCGAGGAAGTCCCAAGCGACAACGCGATTCCTGAGTGTCGAAAGCGCGACGCCTGCATTAAATCAGGCGAGAGCGCGATTCTTCTATCAATTGCAAGGGAGTCCCTAGCGAGAGCGCGATTCTTCATTGCAAAGAAGTATTAGGTGGGAGCCGTTGTTGTTGTTGTTGTAAACCGGGGGGCCAGGGGCACAGTTTGAGCAGGAAGGCGCTCCCCTGTAAAAACACAGCGAGCCCTGGGAGGGGCACTTAAAAGGAATTATTCTGGCGAAGGACCCAACCAGGTGCAATTGTAAGTAACGCAATTGTTGGTACCGTCCTCGGTGAACCTCTCACTGGAGCCACGACGCGTGTCACGGGTGTACCAAAATTGGCACGGGTATGCCCTGCGGACGCTATCACCGAAACGAGTGAGGGGTGCGCCGAAATGCAGGGTGGAACCGCGTGCGGGCGCTGCCACTAGGGCCTTTGGCGGAGCTCCATGTGGGGCCACGAACCGTGTGAGGGATGTGCCGAAATCGAGTGGAACTCCATGCGGGCGCTGCCATCGGGGCCTTCGGCGGAGCACCCTATGGGGTCCCGAAACGTGTGAAGGGTGCGCCGGATTGGGGGTGGAACTGCATGCGGACCCTGCCACTGGGGCCTTCGGCGGAGCACCCTATAGGGCCGCGAAACGTGTGAGGGGTGCGCCGAAAGGGAGGTGGAACTGCATGCGGACCCTGCCACTGGGGCCTTCGGCGGAGCACCCTATGGGGCCACGAAACATGTGAGGGGTGCGTCGACATGGGCATGCGAGAGAGCAGAGGCAGGGAGGGGAGAGGGGAGGAGGGAGGAGGGGGAGGAGCGCGGAAGGAGGGGTGAGGTGAGACGCGGGGCGCTGTCTCTTCAAAACGAAGACTCAACACCACAGGATGGTCGGGAAAAAAACGAATATGTTACGCGAGTGCGTGACTCTGCTGAATTCGCAAGTC